CATATGAGGGGTTTAGCAATACTAATACAGTTTTAATATTTAATTAGTCAAATTGTTATTTTAAAAAGCTGCAAACTGCCCTGGGAAAACTGTTTTGTAAAATATTGTATATATCTTTAAAAAACCAAATAAATCAGGTAAAGATCTTGAAAGGCACCTTTCATGAAGCAGATTTGCGATTCTGGAACCTTCTTCATCATCCGACCCATAAAGAATTTGCTTCCAAAGTTTTCAGCACGAATGTAGGCACCATATTTTAATAATCCAACCTCAAAGGGAGTAAATTCCATCCATTCTACAACAAAATCGTATCAGTTATAGGCTCAAATTAGACACTGGTTTTGCAGTATATGATTTTGCAATAGTTGAGCTTAGCTAAATTAGCCTTTTAAATTTAATATTTTATTTATTATTTATTAATATATAAATTTAATATTTATTAGTTGCTTTTTAGGCCATGTTTCCACCAAGCTAAATATACAAAATATATGGTAGGCGGGAGGGGGGGGGGGGGAAATGGAATGCTGAATAGAATAGGCAGGTGTAAGAAACAGTCACATGAGAAAATCTGCTTTATATCACACAACTCCCTTGAAGAAATTGAATGATAATACAGTATTTGCTTTGAAGGCCTTCTCAAAAGCTAGCACTGAAAAGACCAAGCAATGATTAAGTGCCTAGTATCACTTTTATGGCTGTCTTTTTATCTTCTCACTGTTCTTCCTCCCTTTCTAATCCCACAGGTCATCAGTAACTGAAAATCTCAGGGGAATGAAGGTGACAAAAGAGCAATCCTACCTATTGGTCTTTGTGAATGTCTATGATATGTATGTTGGTTCTTGAATTAATATTTCATATTGTGCTGTTCAGACTTACATTTGCAGATGCTGTCCACCCACAAAGTCTTCTTTGTTGGTGGCAGATATTTCGATTGTCCATTATCATTACAATAATTGGAAGCTTAGAGAGGAAATGATAAAATGAATAATTTCCTCCTGCTGTGACAATGGCAAGTGTTCCTTCATGCTCACAGCAGTTTGCCTCTTAATGTCTAAAACCCTAGAGCCTTAGTGTCAGATCCAATTATTCAGATATTCTAAGCATCTCAGAAGTCTTGTCAGCAATTTTCTGGTAGATGCAGTGATGCCAGGTCTTCCAACATAAAAGGGACACCCTCATCATCAGGCAACCTAAATAGGGCCTTCTTTAGTGACTCCAGTTTGACAGCTTCTCAGCTGCCTGAGTTTATCATAATAATGGCTGCTAGTGAACTTTAGATATTATTCACGAGAGGACAGAAGTTGATCCATCCTCCAAACTGCTGATGGGTGATGATACTGTTTCCAAAGGAGCAGACAAAACTGGGGTTATGAATTCTGAAAATACTAAAATTCTACCATGACACATAGTATTTAACTAAAGCTAAATCTAACTGGATTTTTTAGAATTCATTTTGACTCCAAATGAGAAAATTTTACGGACTCAAGATTTGTTCAGAAAAAAAAAAAATCCCATAGAATCTTTTTTCAGTTTTGTTGAAATTGAAAAGCTCGGGAGACAAACCAAAGTGCACAGAAGACTTTCAGGAGGAAATGCGACAGCTTTGTAATCTCTCCTTCCCCTTGTAGTAAAAAAAATCTAATACAGCAAAACCATGATACTTGTATTCACCCCTTACAGACACAGATATCATCCAGCAGGAGGTGTAAATCAGAAACTCTATCATGTGATCCAGCATCCCTGATACCATGAAGAATTGCTAGTTAGGGAGATATTTAGATACTTCTATTTTTCTGATTAACTTCATTTATTTTCTTACATTTGACCTCATAATGAGCGGGGCAGTGGTTTCAGGTTGGGGGAATCCATTATTTCCCTTACTCTATCCAAGATCCAGTGACTGGAAGGAACTGAGAAAAATAATCAAGAGTATATTCAGAATATCACATGTTCTGAGAACATGCATACAACCATGTTAGGGTTGAGAAAGCTGCAAAAAGGTGTCCTCTAAGGACTAAAAAAATATATATATATGGATGGTCCTTCCATAGTTTCTCTCATTCCACAGTACTTCTCGAATATTTATATTTTTTCCCCTCATTTTCTGACTCCATTTTTATTTTCCTGACTCCTCTTCCCCCAATTTAACAGGCAGTGATAATGAGATCTTTTGCTTCTTTAAGGCTTTGCAAGTCAAAGATACAGCCACATACTGCATCTTCATTTCTTCAGGTCTCATGAGAGGGAGAGGGTGGGACAGGACAGAACCTTCACTATTTTTTTTTTTAAAAAATCATGTATGCCATGGAATTGGGAGCTCTTCTTTGGGCTCTGGACCAATAATAACACCACAATTAATGTCTGCCTTTCCTGGTGGATTGATAAGACCCCTTACTATTTGCAAGTTAGAATCAGTATGGGTAATGTTACCTTTAAATTCTTGAAGGCTATATTTGTCCCTGGCGTTAAGGGTCAAATATATGGGCAGTGGATTCTGACCATGATTCAGGGCATGCTTCTGCTCTGAAAGTGTGCTGCTACATCTCTGTAAAAATAAATGCTTGAACCAACAACAAATCATAAAAATGTCAGAGATTTAATCCTATGAGAACTAGAAAGAATGGGAAGAACCCTAACCTTAATTTCATCTCATACATCTGACTCATTTCTGGAATAAATTTTCGCACCATCTCTGTCCCTTTCACATCTCATCCGGCTTCATTGAAAAGAACAGAACTGACCAAAAATGTATCTGAAAATCATTTTAAGAAATTCTTTGACATTTTATTTATTGGGAACTCTACCCAAATTGTTGGGAAAATTTCAGACCACCTGGAACTTATTTGGTAAAATTTCATGTGAATATCATATTCACCTGTGAATAGCATGGTGTTAGCCCTTCGAGGTAGTCCAGACAAGAAGCACAGCTATGAGTACTAACTCTGTCTTTATTGTAAGGCTACATTAACAGAATCTTACAGGACTGAAAGTATTTCTCCTCTTCTCTCCTTTTACTCTCCATAAACATACAAGAACTCTTCACACAACACGAAACCATCAGCATTATCCCACTTAT